AATGTGAAGACGACAAAAGTACGTAGCTACGTAGGTAAAAGATAACAGTAACTATTTAAATGGTATATGTATATTGAAAAATTCGAGTCTAATTTATTTTTTTGCTAAAGTTAAACTACTTCCAGAAACAGCCAATCTTTTGATTTAGTAAAGCGTCGAAACTGTTAGCCGGGTTGCCAGGACTTACAGAAACGATTACGATTACCAGTTTTCTAAAGACATTAATTTATTTGATAAGATAACAACATCAATAAGATAGAACCTTTGTAGCAAATTACTGTTTAGAAAAAACGCTTTTAACACCTAGTTTCATGAAACAAAATAACCTAAAACCAAATTATATCACACCAAATCCAATGTTTTTACAATCGTTTCTCTTTATGAAATGTATAAAATTGTTGATAAGCATCATATAAGTATCAGTGTAAATATAGCATAAATCAAGTTTTGTACCTTAATTAAATATTTTACATTCCTGATAGATGAATGCTAATATCAACTGCGTAAAAAGAAACTACATTGCCTTGGAGTGCACACGAGTTGCCAATTAATAAAATACAAAATAAATTACTTTAGCCAAAAAAATAATTCAACTTTCAATTTATGCATTATTTAACATTAATAATAAGCAACTATTTTACTTTTCATCAATGGCTCAAATATGATGATCATCGTCAAATTTTACAATAAGTGACATTTTCTCATTTTGACAGCTAGTTTAATCTTTGTGGTACTGGCAACACCAGTGTAATTTCTTTTTATTTCGGTTCTTTGCCGAGTTGTTTAGGGTACGTTGATTAATCCGTGAAAATCTTGTATTTGCCCTTATTTATGTGACTAAAAATATTATATTATTAATTTTCAATATATTCTCCGCCTCAAACGATGGATATTTTCATTTTAATTCTTGTTGTTTATCGAAATATTCGCCGCGGCAACTTGACGTTTAGCATGCACGAAACAGTAACCTAAACATTTATAGTTGTGAAGTTAAAACGTGGTATTCTGTGTTTTCAGTGAAGAGCGTCAGAATGAAGTACAATAAGCTCGTCACATCCTCCAGGAGGAAAAACAGGAAGAGGCACTTCAGCGCTCCTTCACACATCAGACGAGTGCTTATGTCTTCGCCTCTGTCGAAGGAGTTGAGACAGAAGTTCAATGTAAAGTCTATGCCAATCCGTAAAGATGATGAAGTTCAGGTGAGTCCGGAACCCTTTGTCTAAACGTGTATACACTTTGTAGGTTATGTTTGTATGTGCAAATCAATATGATGAAGAATAAACCATTCTTAGACCACAGATGATTGCGGTCGTGCTACGGACGAGTTTGAGGTTTTCTCTTACGAGTCCACGGCGCGGCCAGCTAGTCTGTGCCATGGTGGAACTTAGGCTCTGATTGTTTGCACTACATACATTACAATAACTGTAGGTTTAGTTTGGTATGAAATCAGTTTTGTCCCGGATTAATGATACTCTTACTGGGTGGTTTAGCTCTCTAGCATATGAATAATAGTTTCAATATACATACTGTTATCTTTTACATATCCTAATCATTACATTTTGACCATAAAAACTTGTTTTAGCTAAAACTCCATGACTTATCATTGTGATGATGCCATGTTGTCTCATTTTAGAAATTTAAATGCTTGAAACATAGTACACCTCTCCTAATATATATTTATATTAGGATTCCGAAACAAGCAGTAAGATAATTCTGGTCCTTACAGATGTGGCTGTCAGCATAGCACATTGACCATCATAGTTAACTTTAACTAAGAGAAATTTTCAATCAAATGCAGCCAAATTACTTAGGGTTGGTATTTCTTTACAAAGTAACTTAATTTCTATTGAGCTGACTGTAACAATACTATAAAAAAGTGGCCTGTGAAGAACAAAAAAGAATTCATCTTGTAGGTTATAACATTATTTCTTTGTGTATATGCATAATGCTGAACATATGACACTGTTTTAGGTTGTCCGTGGTCACTACAAAGGCCAACAAGTCGGCAAGGTAGTGCAGGTGTACCGTAAGAAGTTTGTCGTCTACATTGAGAGGATCCAGCGTGAAAAGGCTAACGGTGCCAGTGCATATGTTGGCATCCACCCTTCAAAGGTAAACCTTTTTTTTTTCTTAATATTGTTCTTTGTGGGTTTCTTTTTTTAACTACAAGATTGTTTTTATAGTAAATAATGATACATACCTAAGATATTATTTCTATGTATTGAATAATATAAGGCTAAATCGACAACAAATTATTAGACATGGGTATGTTTAAATATGATTTTTGTGACAACACTTATGTCTACTACTCAATCTATATTAGTAGAGTATTAATACATACCTTATTATATGCTAACTTAAGATTTGTAGATAAATATTACAAAAATGACTCAATACTTCCAATGATGATAACACTGACCTGAGACCGTGCTCTCATGACATACTGAAGCCTAGCGATGTATGCAGGGGCACGGGTTCTGCTGAAACACTTCCATGGCTCTGATTTTCTACTAATAAAAACGCCAACATCTTACTTTTCTTTTTAAAACTAATGGCCACTTAATTTTCTCTTCTAGTGCGTGATCGTCAAACTTAAGATGAACAAGGACCGTAAAGCGATCCTCGACCGCAGAGCGAAGGGCAGACTGGCCGGCAAAGACAAGGGCAAGTACACCGAGGAAACCGCCACCGCTATGGAGACCTCGTAAATATAGATTTTAAGACAAATAAAAAAGAAAAACTCCTAAATTAATGTCTTTTATTTCATTTCTCGTTACTTGGAAGACCTATTAGGGTACTATTGGAATTCTTTAACCGCCTACGTCGGATTATTGATCGGATATTTTTTATTTGTAAAGAAACATCTTAATTTTTCACTATTCCTAATCTTTCGATAGTTAAATTACTGACTATTCCTGTGGCGGGGTGCCCTATGAAATAAGAATTTCTAGAAATGAAGTACAAAATTACCTAAATAAATATATTAGCACACCCTCGTCGGTTCTCAAAAACCATGTGAAAATTTTGCATTGATTAGCTACTTTAAAAAAAACTTTGTTTTATATAATTTTGATCTCATTTCTTGTTATTAGACTTAATATAACGTAGTGTTAAAATTTAATTTAATACTTACATCATTTTAAATTTGTATTTGTATTCATGCTGTTACATCATATTTGCATGCTGTGGCTTCTTATAAGTGGAGAAGCACAAGAAAATATTTTGTTATGTATATTGTCTGGCATTTAAAGTGTTTTCTCTGTTGGAAGTCCAAATAAATAAATAAACTGAACAATATTCAGCATTGTAGTAGGTAAGATAATACTTTGCATTGGAATTCTTTTATAATGCACCTGCATCTCGTACATAACAAAATACACTTTTTGAGCGCCATTTTACAAATTTAAATTTCGATGAGAAAAATCCTCAGTGTTACTCTGCATACCCTAGCTGGTTAGTACAAGTTTATTTTCGTGGTATAACCCGACTACGGGAAACTTAGTCTAAGTGCAGGTATGGTAAGTAAATGTAAGGTGTAACTTCAGTATTCTAAAAATCTTGTATTATACTTTTTCAGCGTCGGTTTTTGTCGTAGTTGGGTTTTAGTTTTTATACTACTTATTATTAGACCATCAAAATTACATTTTATAGAGAATTTATGGTCTGTGATTTGCTATATAGGTAGGTATGCCTGCTTGTCTGAGGAACCGCACAGAATACCGATGTGAAGTAGCCATGATTCAAAATTCCGTTTGAGGCGAACGTTTTGGACAGCGGTTGGCAATACATTTGTGATGCCTGATGTTGTAGGTTCAGGTTAGACCGACAACACTTGTCGGCACTGATAGTAGGTACCTACTTTATAAAAAATAGAAGTGTGGGAGAGCCATCGACCGGTGTGATACCACAGCCTCACAGAAAACCGGCGTGAAACAACCACAGCGTTGTTTCGCCGTGTGAGTGAGGTTACTGGAGGCCCAATGCTTCCCCTCCCCCAATCCCTAATCACCAAAAAGTTGACAACGCACTCGTAGCTTCTCTGTTGCGGGTGTCCATGGGCGGCGCTGACTGCTTACCATCAGGTAATTCGCCTGCTCGTTGGCCGAAATATTACATAACAAAAATGAATCAAGAAAATTCTTAGGTGTTATTAAAACTGCATATTTAATATTACGATAGTATATAAATTTTAATATAAAAAATGTATGAGCAATAGAGCACCTCATTCATTTTTCAATTAAGACAATCACAACTTACTACTAATCGGTACTCTGTACATTTTTACAAAAACAAGTTTTAATATAACAGAAAGGCCCGCCTTAAGATTTTGCACACATTAAAAGTTGTTTTTGTAAAAATAATTAAAATCTAAACATGCACATAAGTAAGTAGGTAAATGTTTTACTGATTTTGTTAATCTATGCATACTGTTAATGGCGAAGCAGGCAAAGTAGAGTACAGTGAAACAGGGTAAATGCCACCCTGCTTTTCAGTCCACATTATAGTTTTACTTGTGGGACAGTACAGTGTATAATAATATCTAATGCTAGCTTATTTGGCCAGTATTTATGTAAGTGTAGGTAGAAAGAGAGTACATGCTACATGAATATTGATCAATATTTGAGAATGCTTAGGTTTTCAAAAATTAGGCTAGTTCATACAAGAAGAGTTACCAGTCATGACATATTTGAATACACAGAATAAAAATCATCATTATTTCGTAAAAAGTATACAGGTAGCTGCTATATTGGTAAGTACAAAGGAAAATGTTGCACACAGTATAGAAAATTACAAATTATCAAATTAGTTCTTTACAAGAGATGGTTCACAAAAACAATCACTCAGATTTTATTGCCATTACTTTTAAAAATATACAAACAATTTTACTTCAATTAATGCATAAATATCACAAGTCTTCGATTCCTACAGGGTAGGCATTAAGATAAATTCTCATCACTCCCAAATTGGCAGTTTACAGTTACTGCCTTTTCAATTACAAATGTTTAAAAACAAACTTTCCTTGTCAAAACTAGCCTGAATGGTGTAACATCTTTTATGTGGCAATCTTGCTGGAGTGTTCTTGAGCCTCTATGGTGGGTTTTGCCATACATTTGAATCGTTTTTTAACTTCATTGTTCAGATTTTCTCTGTTTCTTGCGATTTCTATCGCATAGAACTGTACTCTGGGAACAAGCATTGTATTCATTTCAGAGTAGTCTCCCTTGGCATCAGCTCTCATGAGTGTGCCGAAGCTGTAGTCTTCCACAATGTTTTTAAACTTTTCACAAAATATTCTCCACTTAGCCTTATTTGTGCTGTTCTTAATTTCATTTTCATTTACATAGGAGACATCCATGTCTGGGAAATCTTGCTTGAAGTGTGTGTAAATAAGATCATCGTTTGGAGTCAACTGCAGCCATCTGGTGTCCACCGAGCAAAGCATCTGAAAATAAGTATAATTATTTGTCAAGAACACTTGATGTATAAAAAAGCATAAAATTACATAATGAAACAACAATGAAACAATGAATTTATTTTTGCAAATAGGCCATAAAACGGCACTTTTACACGTCAATTTATATGTGAAAAACTAGATGAAGCCGGCATTTCCTATCTGACTACTCTGAGAAGAAATGCCGAAACAAACTCAGAGGTCAGTCTCTTTTCAAGTCCAGACAATGTAAAAATAACATAATGTGAGAGAATCGTGCAAGTTCATTCTGTAGTGGTCTTTTGAGGAAAGAACCACACCAGTTTAAGTGGACCCGTTCTGAAGACAGGCACGCAAGTGTCAGTTTGCAACCAGTATAGCTAGTGCTGCTGAGTTGTCCGACGAACAATACCGATCTAAAGAACATTTGGGTGGGTCGCGCAAGTACTCAAACTGTCAGAACGCAGATAACTGGTAATCAAAAAGCACGGCAAGTCTCACACGGTCCTTACACTAACAATAATATAAAATAATAAAAATGTAAATAAATAAATAAAAAAAAATGTCAAAAAAATAAAAAATAAAATGTCACAATAGGTGATTATGTCATTGTATAAAAAATAAAAAATAAACGTAATGTCAAATTGTATATAAAATTGTAACTTATGTTACAAACATGTCAACATGACCTGTGCAGACATTACAGCGGCTCATTCCCATGCCTGACTATCCTCTAAGTAGTCTTTTATTTTATAAAATGCTTTACAGCAAAGTTTAGCCTTTATTACACTTTTAAATTTATTGAGGCTCAAATTTTGAATATCGATATATCATACAATATATCTTAAGCAAATAAAGTGTTTTAACATTTCTTGTAAAAATTTATATAAGTAAATATTCCTATTACAATGATGTGAAATTTATTTGTGTACCTAGACACAAAATATCGAGTATAAGAATTAATATGTTGAGAGCTTTATAACAGAAACAAGTATAAAAATATAATATACTAACATTGAAGTATATGTCACTGTGCTCCATAGCTTTTGCAGCCCATAACCGCTCCAAAGTTTCATCATTGCCGAACTCTTCAGCAGGTCGCGATAAAACATCCTGAAACAACGAATATTCCATTTTCACGTACCACTCTCAGTGCTGCAATCCGGCAAGTAAATACATCACGTGTTGAAGTGTAATTTAAAATACACTCGATATAAGAACATCACTGGGTAGTCATCAATAAAAATGATTATCTTGCAAAAACACAAAATTCAGTCTTCACCGCAACCTAAGTTTTTACAAATAACTCAACACGTACGGACTTATACATTGCACCATACACTTACCATATTGGATTGTATTTCGAGTAACTTGTATTCTATAATAATTTAAGTTACAATACTACAAATCAATTCAATTTAATTGATATTCATAAATAGTGCACATGGGACAATGAAAGAAAATGAAATATGTCTGGGCACGTTCCACTCAATAACTTTGACATTTAAAAGATGACATGTTAAGCATGATAAAATCACAGATTATTATAAATTAATCAGAGAAGCGTTGCAGAATGCGTTTATTCTGGAAAAGGGTTTATTCAATATATAAAGTTCCATGGAGGAATTAACTATACCTTCCTATGGTCTCACCTAAATTCACCAAATACACTTACGAATCGAGCTAAATGAAACCATTGTAGGGTTCTCTAGCTCATTAGGTACCTAAGCAAAATAATTAATAATAATTAATTCTAGCATTTGGCTGATAATAAATTTAAAAAAATTCTTACCCGTTAAAAGTTCCAAAAACTTTTAAATTGCAATACACACAATATAGTCGTAGGTACTACAGCAATAGATAATTTTCTTCCTAGCTTTTTTCTAATGTTGTTTAAAATGCGAATCAATCTCTGTCCCAATCAGGGTTGCGAAGCAAAACTCAATAAGTTTCCGTGGTCTCAAAAGAAAAAGCGGAAAAGGAAACCTCATGTCAGCACACACTGGGCGAGATAAGTTATTTGATGACTTTCTAGTCACACTTGTGTTCACAATTCTTAGAGATGAATAAGTAACATTACAAACGTACCTACTTGTTCTGTCTACCTGACCAATACAGAATTTTCAAAGAAAGCCATATAAGGCTACACAATAAAACTTAGAACCATAATTATTGACCTATAGGTTTTTTAAGCAGGATTTTTTTTGCCATTAAGTCAATAACTTTATTAATGACAATAATTATGATGAAAAATTGCTTACTGCAAAGTGTATGTACAAAAAATAATTACCATGTTCAAAATCAATAAAGTAAAATTTATGAAAAATAACCGTTTTTCAAACTTTTGCTCTCAAAATAATTTAAAACAATAATTAAAATTTTACGAACGTATCCAAACCCGACATTGGCAAAACGGAGACAGGCTTATGGAAACAAAGTATAACAGAAAGAGATAGCATGCTCGTAAAAATTCGTTTAGGCTTCGTTTCGTCACGGGATTTCATTGGACGAGAGTACAAGAGGGTGGCGCATGCGCGTTATGCCGACGCCATCTCTGCAACTACTGTGCCTATTATGTACTTGGTCTAAAGTAAAGTGAATGCTAATTCGTGGTAAAAAGTGTGAATAAATCATGGAATTACATATTCGCGAGTGAGATCAAGTGTACGTTCATAGTGATTGAAAAAGACAGTGACATCACGGAGACTTCGCTAACGGCGGGTCATATCTTGCGGAAGTTTCTTGACTATAGCAACGCATATTTTTTGCGGCTATCTTTGCCGCGGGCCGCCACACAGGACTTATTTCATGGGCTGCTCTCGATTTAACAGCTAGTGGTAACTTCCCAACAATATCTATTGACCGTTCATTAGCGCCACACGTAGAAAGCGGACTCACAAGGCGGGCAGTTCGGTCCCCGTCCCCGCGTTCTTACGCGCGTACTGCATATACGTTTATTATGTATGAATTATTGTTGTGGGTCAAAGACATCGCGGTGTGTTAACCTGCTACGAAAACAGTGTTATAAACCCGGTTAACTTTGTGTTTCAGCTTGTGTACGGCCAGGAGGCGAGTTTTAGACGCGTTTGAAATGAATTCTGCTTTAAAGCCGGTGCTGCCCCAGCCGGGAGTGCCGCAGCCGGGCGGACAGGCGAGTCCCGCGAAGGGGAACGTGGCTACTGCGAACCACACCGTAGGGCACCCGCAGGGCGCTCAAAACTCGCTGCACCACCCCGGCAACAACCTCGTCGGCCAGAACCTGACGCACCACGCGCCCGCGCCTCAACTGCCTCACGCGCCGCCCCCCATGGCGCCGGTGTCTGCCAACATGGCGCAAATGGCACAGAATATGAGTCACCATGGCAACCTCTCACATGTCACCCAGAACTCCGTCGGCCCCTCGACTTTAGCCCCCAGTCCCACTAAGGGCGGGAATCCAATTACTCCTCTCAGCCTCGTCCAGGACAAGGCTCTGGCCCTCACTATTACTCCTGAAAAGAGTGAGCCAGATTCTACTGGACATGCTAATGGCACTATTGACTCACCCAAGTCTGGAGCAAATGCTCCAGCTCCATTGAAACCACAGAATCCTGAGTCTAACAAAGATAAACAGGATATCGCTAAGACTTCACCAAGTACACCAAAACCACCTGAAAAGCCATCAAGTTCTCCAAGTACACCACAAAAATCTGAGACTGCAACCCCTGCCAGTACTGATGGTCCAGCACAACCCAAAGTGGCAACAGCTAATGAGGCTTCAGAGAAGTCTCCATCAAAACCATCAGAGTTAAAACCAGCCCCAGCTGCAGATGTAGCACCAACACAGAGTGACAGCAAGCCAGTCCCAGAGTCTGCAAATGACAATCAAGTGCAAGAGAAGGCACCAACTCCTGTGAAAAAGGATCCCCCTGCAGCTGAAAGTGCAAAAGTGGAAAATGTGTCTGAAGTGAAACCAGAAGAAAAAAAAGAGGAAGTTAAAGTGGAGCAGAAGCCAGCAGATTCTGCAGAAGATAAGAAGGACGAAGTAGCAGCTGAAAAACCTGAGAAATCTGAATCTCCCAAAAAGGAAGAAGTGGTTGACAAAGCACAAGAAAAGGTCGAGGAAAAAGCTGAGGATAAGAAATCTGAAGCTAAACCTGCCAAAGCTGACTCAAAGCCAAAATCTACTCTGAAGTTGGCAACAGTAACACCACCAATGCGGAAGAGGAGGCAGGCGTCTCCCAGCAAGTCCAATGATGGGCCTTCTTCAGCGAAGAAGCCTGCAGATGGAGAAAGCACTCCAGATACAAGGATGAAAAGGAATAGGACTAAGGTTGGTACTTGTTTAATTTTTCTTGTGTGTGTCTCATGTTTATATTGGTTGACGAATAGAGATAATATAGTATTGTTGTTAAAACTTAATTATTTATCTATTAGCAAGAGATAATAATTAAACACACAAATACAAAATACCATTTCGACAGTAAACTAAAGTAAATTAATATATAGTAATACATAAAAAGTGTTTACTATTTAGACTAAAATATTTTGAAATGATTTTCTTATAACAATTTTCATTATTTGCAAACAATTCAAAGTATCCATAAACATTCTAAAGTCATTATTTTTACTTCTATAAATTTAATTTCTGCCTAAAAACAATCAGGTATAACTCTACAAGCTAAAGTATTTTAGTTACTTAATATTAGCACTTCATAATAACCCAGTTGTCTTCCTTCAAGGGATTCAAGATAATGAAAGAAATAAAAAGAAACCATTTTACATGCGTACCTATCATGTTTCCATAAAAAATTGCATAATATTCATACTATACATCATTCAAAAAGTAACTTTATTTATTATTTATTTATTTGGGATAAACATTATGTTACAACAGTATATCTGTGCAAACAACATAAACAACGATATTATATAAATGTCAAACTCAACAATTATCCACAGCATAAACAATTCATATATTAACTTATCCCATACAAAGATTTTCTGCTGTGTTGTGAGTTTGTTTACAAACATACAATCACAAACACAACAACTAAACCTGGAACAACAATATATGGAACCTACAATATGACCAATTAACAGCCAATTAGTTTAGTATTTAATTGACTTTCATTAAGTAACAAATATAAAACTAAGTCTATCCCTCTGTCCATATATCTCTATGTATGCTTAAATCTTTAACACTATGCAACTGACTATTAATACGATTTTTTTTAATAGATAGAGTGATTGAAGAGGGAGTTTTATACATACATATATGTATAATAACACCCATTAATTAGTGGAGAAATTTAATTAGTACTGCATCCGAGTGAAGCTACTAGTAGGCTAGGTAGGTAGGGTAGGGTAGTTGGTGTTTCTAAAAGGACGTTATAGTGATTTGCGTGATAAAATTCTAACTGTGAAGCAAAACAATACAACATCAAGCTTCTGAAAGTATTCAGTAATATTCTTTAAGAGATGCTGAACCTTAACGTTTTGTTATAACATTAAAATGTATTGAAAGAATTTTGATAACTTGAGTTGCTTCATGTGGTTCTAGAAAATAATACTTTTTTCTTAGGGCGCCAATTTATAAGTACCTTGATAGAGTACAGCTTTCGTCGTTGGATGTTCGTGAAGTAAAAATAAATGTTAACAACTTGAAACAAATTATTTGCACATACTGCGGTACTTATGTTACGATTCTAATGACGCTGTTCCGATTATGTAATACCTAAAACTTCGTAAAAAACATCATTTATTTACCTAACATTAAGAAAAAAATCTACATTTCAATTTCAACCCTTTGGCAAGAGTTTTCATTGTAAATTGAACTTAATTGGCGTACAATGTAGTTTAGTTTAGCTAAGCGGAACAACTCGTTCTCATTACGTCGTTCTCGCTTGTTTACCGGCGCGTCCAAGCAACCGGAAGTGCTTATACAATGTCTATAACATTTGTCTACATTTGAAATTGGAGAAAGAACGTTTTTTTTTCTATTGTTTTCCTCCAGGTCTTTTGAACCTTTCTTCATTGTTTTTTTGTTGTTGACACATCATTATGATAGCTATTTAATAAATATATTCACATGGAAGACGAAACCAAATCTGATCAAGCAAAACATTGTATTCCCCTTTCCCCTCCGACACACTGACTCTATGACCCGTCCTGGAGGGCGAAAAGGAATGTGGTAGTTTTCAGTCAATAAGAATCTGACACGAGAGACGTCATTAGGTGATTATCCCCTCAAAAAAAAAAAAAATTTTTTTTGTTTATCAATTCAAATTAAGAAGTTTACGTGAATTCAGTTTAAATTAAGCTATTCCCAGTTTGAATTCTGAATAATAATTGTTGAAATCAGATCCGCTTATGGTATGACACCTATAGACACATCTATTGAACTTCTACATGTATTTCTAAAGATGCAAGAATAGCGTAGCTCCATTTGCATTCTTTGAGATTACTCTGCGATGTCCTACATTTCGT